AGGTTGAAGGCAATGGCTATTAGGTTGGATAACATTGCTATTAGTTTGGGTGGCCAGCTTTATTGGTTTTCATTCGCTTGGACCTTTGGACCTTTGTATTTCACGTCGCTTCGCTTCGCTGTGCAGAAAATGTCAGTCCTTCATTTCGCCCCTCTCTTCGTGCGTGAAGGTTCGGGTCGAGAGGTCATAGCGGTGAAAGGGGTCATTCAAGTGGTGCAGCAAAGATCTCAGCAAAGCACCAAAGAGCCGTACATATGCAAGACACATGTCAGAATATTTCAGTTGTAGTAGCTCTAAAACCGGAAACTAAGTTCACCACAGATCTAGCTTTGGCAATACCAGCTTCCTTGGTGTTAAGATGATTATTGAGATGTCTCAAGGCCAGGCTACCTATATAAGTTATATATATAAGCCTTAAAAATTCAAGTCAAGTATCCCCGTCGCAGCAAGCGGCTTATCTATGGATCCTCCTGGGCCATAGGCCAGTGTCTGCCTCAGGAAGGGAACACAAAATGCACTACTTCGAAGCGAAGTATGGATCCCAAACAGGCCTTCTACAAATTTGCCAAGTTGCTGCTTGGGATGGTTCTGTCGCAGCTCATGGGCGACATAGCCTGGACACCAACAACACATGGATTCCGAAAGCGCGACCTTTTTTTTCCGGTTTTTTTCCAACGTGTGTTTCCGCAATGTTTGTGGTCAGGGGTTGCCACAAAGAGAAAAATAAAAAGAACTAGCGCAGGAGGCAAGGGACAGAAGAGTAGAAGGAGAAGGAGAAAAAGGAAAAGGAGGAAAAGAGGGAGGAAGAGAAGGAGAAGGAGAAAGAGAAGGAGAAGGAGAAAGAGAAGGAGACAGAGGAGCGAGGAGAAGGAACAAGAGGAGAAGGCTCTTCCCGCTGCATTCTTGCAGATCACAATACAGTATACACCAGCCATGTGTGAATTAAGTTTTAAAAGCGGGAGGGGGTGCGGGGGAGGGAGCAGCGCCTCCCCCGCAAAAGAAAAAGTATAGTGAGCATCCCGGCACTGACACATTGCTCTCCTTCCTCCCTTCCTCCCTTCCTCCCTTCCTCGCTTGCTTGCTTGCTTGCTTCCTTCCTTGCTTCCTTCCTGCCTTCCTTCCTTCCTTTTTTTCTTCCTCAGCAACAGAACCTGGGAAAAAACCCAAAACCCGTTGGAAAAACAAAAAAAGGAGTTCCATTCCGAAATCTTGAGACTCTCAAAAGGAATGAGACAACATTTGAGGCCCGGGCCAGGGAGAAAAGGCGCTCCCAAATTCGATCGGGCGGTGCGGGGCGTGAAGGTTGCTGTCATTGCGTCGGCGGCGTTGGCCGTTGATGGTTCACGCCTTTCTACCAAGGCCTTGGGCCTACCGGCTGCATGTGAGATCACTTGCATTTGACATCAATTGACCAAGTATACACCTTCGTCAAACATGGGAAGTGTTGTACCATGTTTCAGCGCACAAGCACTTTTCTGCGAAAAAAAGAAAACTGTACATACCTGGTGGTTGCAACATATGCGCAAACAAACTGTACGCCACACGGGCTTCAGGGCACCGATGCTGCTTCTCTATCGAACATCCTTGTGCAGCTTGGAATTTCCATCATGAGTTTGTCGGCACTCACGAGATTGACCTGCATGCACGCTCAGGGAACAATTTGACAATGCCCGACCAGCATACAGGCACGCTCAGAGATGCGAGAACTACTTTGTTAGAAGACTGGATTGTACCTCAACTAAAGTTCGGGAGACTTCAAGAGCCTGACTGAAGGAAAAGCTGAAAGTACGAAGTTGTGAAATGCTTGACTAATTATGCTAAGCTTGATCAGGGTGTGCGTTGAAAACGTGCAATGCATTTTCCAGAAGTTTCTTTGTGGCGTGTCTAGCCTTTGGGTTGAGGCCGGTTGACACTTTGATGGACTTCTCCACCGCCGTTTGTTCTCCTGCTGTTGGAATCCACCCATGGCAGCCTAGTGGAGCATCAAATGTTTGGCATTCACACAAAAGAATTACCAAAACTTAGAAGTGCTGCTTCTCTGCTTGGCATCCGGCCCATTACAATGCATGGCCTGCCCCGTCTTGAGCAATGAACATCCTCAAACAAGGGGAGGCGTGTCCAATCTCATGCGAACCCATTGAGGTCGGTGAACTCCTCAATAGTAAAGACCATAATTAGGCTACAAAGTTGAGGTGCGAGAGCCGTGACAAAAAGAAACCCAGAACATATTGGCTTGTTGGACTTCCAAATCTTGCAGCACTGTGAGAGATTTTCCAGCTGTCATGGTGTTGCCAACAAAGTCTCTGTCAGCGGCCACACCAGTCCATTTGCAACACGCTCAGCCTCAAGCAGCATAGGTATCGCTTTCCTGGACTGGCTCATTGGCTTCTCAATGCATTGCACACATTGCTCTACAAGTTTGAATGAAGCGTTTTCCTCCACATCTCATGTCCCTTGCAGCACTTCAAGTGTATTTGGATGCATTTGATGCCTGCTGATTGCTGGCATGCATTTGGACAACAGCCAACACACAGCTACCCCACACAGCTAGCCCATGTATGACGATGCTATGAAGTCATCTTGTGTTTCCTATTGTGCTATTGTGGGACTCCACGTGATGAAAGTACAGAGAAACCCCCCTCTCTCTTGCAGCCGCCCTCTTGTAGCCGCAACCCACTCCTCTGCAAGATGTGCTTTCCACCTGGCACCTACACGAAGCCGAAGCTGCGCTTGGTTCAAGCAAGCACTCCAGCTGTCTAAAAATCAATGTTGCACCAGCTGTCTACGACTTGTATGAGACTGCAAGCTGTTTCAGCTCCCCACGGCCAGCTCCATGACCAGAAACCTCAGGGAGACTGGTCTGTGGCTTGCGGCTAAAGGCATGGATGGCATGGCCGATGTCGAGGTGCTGCGGTGACTGAAAGACATCGCCCACTGCAGCGGTATGGTCCCGGGTTGCCAATTCAAGCTGGGCCTGACTTATCCCACGTGCACGTCAGCCACACATGCAAAACTGACAGGCCTTCAGGATCTTGGCAGTTCCACGAGTCATGCTGCGAAGAGCATTCCGGTCCTGATTGCATCTACTCGGCTTCCACCTTGAACTCTAGACCATAGTTTGATGAAGTCAGGTCCTCACTTGGAACCTTTCCCAAAGACGCTTCGCTCAATACGGTGGGACTGAGCTTGCAAAGCACGGAGACCGTGACAAACAGTTACAGTACACGATGTTACACGATGTCACGATGCTACACGCTGCTCGTGGTCCTGAGGCCCCGCTGGACACCAGAGACTCGGCACGTCCTGCCACACCGTGCGCGAATGCGTTTGAGGCAAAACAAAGTGGAGCCAGTGAAGAGTGGAGACGTGGCCTGGCTGAATTTGCTCACCAAATGCTTGAAAAAGGAGGCTCGAAGACGGGCACTGCTTGCCCTGCGATTAGTGACAAGTGCTGCACGACTCGTCAAGAAACACTTATATATGTATATACAGTATAATATTAAAATAATGAATGCCACATAATTTTGAGTGCCATTTCACACGCAATCAAGGCCAGGAGCAGGATGTCCTCAGAGCTGCCCAGAACCTGCGACTATGAGAACCACGAGATCACGTGCATGTCCAATGTTCCATTGTCAAGCGTAGGATAATCACCCTCAGTTTTGTCATTTTCTGCGGCCAGCAGTTGGTTACATGCCTGCAGCACGGTTCTGCACAGGACTTTGCTGTGGCTATGTCCAAGACAATCAGAACTAGGATTGGGAAGCGGCCGGTTTGCCCACCACATCGCTACACTGAAACTTATGTGCCACAAATGTGTGTGTGTGTGTGTGTGAGCGTGTCTGTGCGCAACACTCTTCTATCAAACGATTATATACTTATATATATATATATATCTCTCTCTCTCTCACTGCAAAGGTGCAGCACAGGTGTATATCAGTCAAACATCCGTTGTAATGGCTATGAAGCCTCGCTTTAGAATAGACTTAGATCTGGGACCACACCACAGCAGCTGCAGGATGCTGAGAGGCCTTGCCCTTGTGTGGGCAAGCCTTGAATTCGGCCGGAAGCAATGGCATGGTGGGGGAATCACTCCAGGATGCTGGTGGTCATTGCCTGCCACGCCATGTCATTCTATGCCCAGCTTTGGATGTTTGCAAGCCTCTCTCTCTCTCAGACAGTGGCACGGCAAACTGGGAAAAAAAAACGGCATCGAAAAGAGAGAGAGAGAGAGAGAGCGCTCAAAGTGAATTGTGCAATTTCATCTTTGAAGGGCTATGCCATGCTGACCCGCCTATGATGATTGTCCGGACATCTTCATGCCAACCACCACGATCACCACCACGACAGCAATCAGGCCAATGATGACAACGGGATTCCTTCAAAATGAGTTTTCGATGTAGGGCAAAACCAATATCGGCCTCTGCTAGTTGCAAGCTACCACAGTCAAGAAATGCAAATCTAGAAAAAACCATGCCTGACCTCCAATTCAGCACTTGTCTTTTTACCGCTTTGCATGATTGAAACGTCATAGTTAGGACTTGAAGGACCTACCATTCTTCAATTGGAACACCACAGGCTCGAGCGTCAATGCAGCTAGCTTGTCAGCTGCATTGTTCCTCTTTCTTTTCAAAAATCTCTCAGGTGCGATCACGCAGCATTCCTTCTGTCCAGCCTGCCAAAGTTTGGGCGACCTTGCCCGCAATGGCACCCACCTTTTTGTTCTTCACAAAGTGCTCATTCACAAGATGGCTGATACCCAAAACAATTGCCAAATAGAATGGGAAGAAGGAATGTGGCATTGGCTTCCCCCAAAGCTTCTTTGCAATGGCCTTCTTGTAGAAGATCTGCCCTACAGGGCCATGAACGATGAACATGGGGAATGCAATGGATCCCAAGTTGGCCATTGTCTTGCTGCCGAAGAACTTCGTAATGGCCGATGGCTGGGCTGATAAGGCATCTCGATGTATGGCGGTGAGGAACTCAGTGAAGAGTGGAACGAAGAGGACCCCACGGATGATTGCATCATTGAAATCGAACTTGGTCAGCCTCAGAAGCAAGGAGGAGTAGGCAGCCAAGAAAAGCCACAAGGGATTTGCTGGTTGCATCTTCTTCTCCTCCTCGGTATCAAGCATCACGTGCCGAGCAGCAACAATGCCCATCGTCATCTCCACAAGAGCCCAGAAAGGATGGAAACGGGTCAGGTTCCAAATCAATGGATGCATCACCTTCCCATCCACCGGATGCTCAAAGTGGCTGTGGAAACGGGAGGTTTCAGAGTAGGAGACCTTTTGCAACAAAGAGAGGCTCGTGAGTGCCAATAAGAGCTTCTGCAGACCGTTTTTGGTGAGCTGCGCCACTTGTGGCAAAACAAAGGTCGGCATGGTGAGATTCGAGAAGGTGAGTGCTGACAAGAACCAAGTAGGCTGATTCCAAATCTCTGCCTCCTTGGGGAACCATGCCTGCAACATGCTGAAGTTCAAAAAGGCTCGGAAGGCAATCATCTTCCAGGTTGCATTGAAATTCCTTTCCACCCAAATGAACATCGGTGCAAAAATTGCCGATGACACAAAATGTAGCGGGTAGTAAGCCATGACCCGTTGCCAAAAGAAGAGCTCTGGATTCGCCACCTTCTTCTCTTCAACACCCAAGGCACCAAGCTTGGTGGTCGTATAAGCTGAGACATAGCCGCTGATGACAAAGAAGCCACCCACCAAGACATTCTCCTGCGTGAGGAGCTTCAATGCTGTGAGGTTGCTGGTGCTGAAGCGGGCGAAGTGGGCCACCACAATGGGAAAAACAAGCGCGAAGCGGCAGCCATCAATGCAGTCAATTCGCGGCTTTGAGGCCTTCTTCGCTTCTGGCTTTGCTACAGCCTTGGCGTTTGGGTCGCTCATTGTTGCAAAACTCCACACCTGGGGGTCAACGCAATGAAACACTTGAGCCACAACAGCTGAGGCGATTTGTTTGACCCGTTGTGAGATCCATGCGCATCAGGAAGAGTCATCCCACGTGCGAAGAGTCGTCCACCGGCATGAGCTGTTGACTGGCATCATGTCAAGGTTTTCGTCTAGGTTGGAGGCCATCGTTATTAGGTTGGAGGCCATCGCTTTCCCCAATGTCTCTAATGCAGCTGAAGTGCATACCGCCATCACCGCCGCTGCCAGCAGTCCCATTTTGCACGCCATGACGCGCACGAAGTTGCGAAGCACTTAGCTGGTCATCTTTGTCACCTTGGAACACGCCGACGCCAAACCAATCCACACCCACAGGCTAAAACACGCTACAGTGGCTACAGACCTCTAGTACGTCCTAATTTTTAATACATACGCACTGTATATATCGACAGCATATAGGACCCAAAATGTTCAAACGGAATGCTTCGCAGCTCCGAGCGCTTTCTAGACTCAAGTGACTCAAGGATGCCCAGGGTTTTTTTTCGCTCGGAAAGGGAGCCAAGATAGCTAAGGGCCCGCCTCCGGCTTGGTAGCGCTTGCGCAGTTCTGACCTTGGTGCGCTGTCAAGCTTGACAAAGCTTTGTCACCTTTGTCTAAAATGACTCACCGCTGAAATGACTAGAAATCATGAAAATGTCACGAAACGTCTGAGAAATGCATGTCATATCAATGTTATCATCATCTGTTGTGTTTGAGGGGCGCTGAAGCTTGGTCATCAGGCATGGCCTCGCAGAGTTTGGGGTTCGTGTGACGCAAACCATGACAAGTAGTGGAGTGTCAAACTTCAGCCTTGAAGTCCCAGCAGAACACAACTTTTATCAGAAGGCCCCTCTTTGAGTCAAATTGGCTGCGGCTACAGCGAGCAAGGAATTCAGTCAAGGTGCCCCAGCCTGTCACTTTGCATGTCACAACGCTCGGCCAACTTATCATAAGTATTATGATGCTTTCACTCGGCTGAAAGGCCTCCTTGCTTGCGAGGAGCGCCCAAGCAAATCCGCCTGGAAATCCAAAGGATGTTCCAAGCAGCTGCCTATGCCTAGGCAACTGCACAGACCCAACTTGAGTAGTGTGTCCAACGAAATAATTCGGTATAATATATATATATATGTATATATTTTGTGGTTGACACAAAGGTAGCAACAAAAGATCCCCCTTCCCTCGCACAGCCGCGTGCGTTTTCCACTCACAGCTCACCTGAAGGTTGGTACGAACGGTCGGGCGCCTCGCCCTGCAGTGTCCTCACTGCTTCTATGGCTCAGGTCACGGGTGACCCACCCTACACCACCCTTGCGGCCTCGCACACTCGTGGCTTCGGACGTGAACACACCTGAGTGGGTCAAGACTGGTTCCTCAGTGACCGAAAGGTTCGAAATTCACACTCATCAAAAATTCTATCAATCTTTTTCTTTGGTTGTGCGTCGATCATCCTTCTTGCTGCTGGTCTCCCATTAGAGGGATCCCGGACTCAAGCCACCTAAGGCGTGTTCTGCTGTCAGCTCGCTCTTTCAGCACTTGCAGTTCGTCATTTAGTTGATACATGCCTCGTTGCAAAGTGTATCGGAGGAAAGTTCCTTGCATCACCTTAGTTAGTGCATCAGCGAGCTGAGCTCCTGTATGGACCCATCTTAATTGAATGCCTTCGGATAGCAAATCTTTTATTGCCTTTGCTTGAAGTTGTGTACGGAATTCCTGGCAATTTGGTTGAGCAGTTCGGGTAACCAAATCATACAAAGATTTGCAATCTGTGACAGCTACTGATCGTGGCAAACACTGGGCTAAGGCTGTGGTAGATTGGATTGGTTTGGGTTCACTCTTAAAAACCTCATGTGGTCGTTTCCAATTGACTTGGGGATTTTGGATCCATGCCCAATAGAGTCTCATCCAAGATAGCTGGTCTAAGCTTGTTTGGAGCGAAGTTGTTTCGGCTGACAAAGTACTCGTAACTACTTTCTGGATCTTGCGGCAACCCCAGGACAACGGGCTGACTGGGCATTGATAGTTCTCACTTATATCCCTATGGGTGGCCAAGATGATCATGCCTGTGTGACTTTCTGGGCTCTTGGCCGACGCAAATGATGCGTCCGAGAATAACAAGAATCTGAGATCCTTGATTGGGATGGGTTGGATTCTGATGCATGTGTCTTTGTATCGTTTTGCTTCATGAAGTACACGGTTGGCATCGTGCAACGTTTGGACCGTGGCTTTGTTGATCTCACTTTGGATGTAGCTTAGTCGACTTGAAAGATCCGGTCTCGTGTTGATGCTTGCGTACTGAAGACTTCCCACAAGTGCACGGAGCGAGTGTCTCTCTTCGGAGGTCACTTCATCCGTCAGACATGTTCGTCTGCTTGCATTCATGTGGATTGGCTCAATCTTGCTTACATACTTGGATTGGGACATGATGATACTTTTGTCTGCCTGTTGGTTCATCTCAACACCAGTGAACGTGAATTGACCTACTTTCTTTGATCCAAATGGGAATTTGGCTTCTAGCTTTGAGATTTGTTCTTCAAAGTATTGATCTCCTCCACCTAGTCCATCGTCAACATGAACTCCTAGGACCCCCGAAATTTTGCTTTGTCCTGGTTTGTATAGTACGTATGCGCATGGGTCGAAGGGTGCTGGAATGAAGTTCAAATCACGAAGGGTCCGATCCAATTCCTTATGCCACAAATAAGGAGCATCGATCAAACCGTAGGCTGATTTTTCGAGTTTGCAGATTTGATTGGGTTGAAGTTTCAACGCCTTTCGAAGTTCTTCAACAGGTTCCAGGCCTAGAACTCGATCTTCCTGCGTTTTGCCTTGCAAAAATGCAGCTTTGATATCGAAGCTTTTCAGAGTCCATCCCATGGATGATATTGCTTGCAACAAGAGCATTTTGGATTGCTTTCCAAGTGTCGGCGAGTCCCGGGGTATGCTGTCTAACTGGGGATCTTGATATCCAAGGACTACTAGACGTGCTTTCGGTTTATGGGTCTTTGGTCCTGGTCTGACGTTCTCAGTTGATCCGGTTTGAAGGTCGTCAGCATCAAGGGGTTTCCATACGCATACCCAGCGGCAACGCATTACCTGTTCCGGACACAGCTGATCCCGAAAGATTTTACTCACCGTCCCTGTGTTTAACCAATTTGTGATCTCCTTTTCCTTTGCTTGACGGAAGAGAGCTTGTTCTTTGGTGGACAATTGGTGCATCTTTACTTCTGTTCGGTCACGCTTGGTGGTGGTAGTCATCATGATAAGATCTGTTGCTGGTGAGTTTTCATCCCATTTCATCATTGTTTCTTGGGGAAACAGGAATTCAGCTTTCCATCCTACGGCTTCTGAGTCTATTTGGGTTTGGCACCAGTTGACCTGATCTTCTACACTTAGTAGGGAGTCACATACGAGTTCATCACTGAGATCGGATGCTTCGCTTGGGACCGGCACACTTGCTGCATCCTGATGACCGCCGGGGTCACTCGGCAATTCGATGCTTTGTCGGCTCGCTGGAGACACTTGACTCTCTGGAATCGAGGGCTCTTGATCTGGCTGGACCTCTGACGAATTCGATGCGTTTCCTGTTCCTACGTGTTGTTGGATTATATTGCTATCTTCTTGGCTCTCTGGTGGAGTTGCGGGTGCTTGTTCACGAATGTTGGCATTTTGTGTATCTTCGCCTTCAATCCCTGCGATCGGACTTAGAGCTCGGGGGATATGCTGGGCTTCCATGGCACTTACGGGTCGAACATGTTCAGGGGCTATCTTTGCCAAGCTTCCTGCGTGATTACACCAAAGACAATGGGGACCTTCTTGTTGGATGACTCTGGCTGGACCAAACCACCCCCGTTGGGTTGGAGTCTGTCTCCATAGCATCACCCAAGTTCCCCTGTCATAGGATCCTCGGTGAGGACAGCTTCGCCGGAGAACAGCTCTTCGCAACGCAGAGCTGTTGTCTGCACAGTGAAAAGCTCGTCGTGCAGCTTCGCGGTATGCCAGCTTTTCTCGAAATCTGATTCCTTCCTGGGTGTCATCGTCTGCCAGGAGGTGCGATGGCAATTGCTCGTCCGATGAGATTGATGCTGGAATTCTGGACCCTTTTCCAAAAACAAGAGTTTCTGGGGAGTATCCCTGTTTCTGGCTCAGTGCATTCTTGGCAGAAGTGCAGTGCGATAGTGCTGTCTGCAGGTTGGTATATGACGTTATTGGATGTTCCTGTTCATACTTCTTGAGCATTTCCTGTAGGATTCCACCATGTCTTTCTACTTTTCCGATTTGCCAGTGTGCGCCTGGTGGGGTAACTATTGCTTTGATGTTGAACTGGCTGAGTCTGTGTGAATCTCAATCGGAGCCCCTGCCCATTGGAGCCATCCATTGAGCACCTTGTCTATTGCATCATCACTGCTTTTACCTGGGCTTGCACATGCTACCTGGTAGTTTGTTCCATAGTCGATGATGCGATAGAAGTGGAAGTTGGTTCCTGCCAGATTCGTGTATACAACACCATCTATCCCAATACAGTCGTTGAAGTCTAGCTCACGTTTGATTGTAGAAGGTCTTTGATGTTTGGGTTCCTTAGTATTCTGACATACGGAACAACTTAGGTCCATGGCAGCTTGACACAATCGGGGTGAGTACCCCTGTTGACGCAGCATTGAACACAGCTTTTGACCATGAGGGTGTCCTAGGTTCTGATGCAATTTCAGCAAGAACGATTTTTCTTCGGCTGATATGGTCTTGAACTTTGGGCCATGGTCAAAGCTCGGCATATGGAGTTGACTCGAACTCGCTCCTGTCTCTTTGGTCTGATCCGGATCCAGCTCTGTGACAGGTGCTTGGTCACTACTTGGCAGGCTGACGGTTGCCTCCTGCGGCTCGACGCTTGTTCCCGTTGCCTCGGGACTCATATTCTGTTCGGTCGAATCACCTGATGCTTCTGACTTGGATTGGGGCAAACATGCATACATTGTGATATTGACTCTTGCGGGATGTGCTGGGCGGACTTGCTGCCGATGAGACAGGTCTTGCCAGTATTCCCAGTCCTTTTCTACTTGGATTACCCCCCCCTATTCGGCTTACGATGATGGCACGACGATATGGGGCCTCATTCTTTACCAAATCCCTTGGCGGTGGCAATGTTCGATCTGATCCCTTACATGCTTGAACTTTCTTGATTTCTTTTTCGGGGAACATGTTTTGAAGCCTCTCCAAGATTTGGTGGTTTGTGATAAAAGTCTTCCCTACTCTTGGCAACATTGGTTGGATGTCCTTGATGATTTCTTCTAGTTGTCTCTGAGGTGACATGTTCATACTCTGCGATTCGGCCGTCTTGCCGTCAATGCGGCGGCGCTTGCACTCGTTCGACAATTGCTCCAGGGGTGTTGGTGGCAGTCGCCCACCTTGGGACTTCTGCATGGGAGAACTCACACGGATCCGCTTGGATGCACTTTCCTCACTCGGTTGATCTACTCCTCTGGTTACAAGGGCAGTAACCCATGGCTCATGTTTCACTTTCAACATCACCTTAGCTACTTGTCTTGCAAACTTTCTTGGATAGTTCTCTGTATAGCTACTGACGGTGATTCTCCCGAGAGGCGTTGTCACGGATCCGGCAATGGGTCTGTGCTCATGATCTTGACGACACACCCGGCCATGCAACGAGGCATACATCTCTTGCGATGTCGTTCTTACAGCCATCTCCTTTTGTATGAGTTTGTTCGTTTCTGGACATGTCAACTGGCCTACGCGACACATGTCGAAATTGGCTTCCTGAGTATATGAATACAGCTCTTGCAGGAGTGGGGTCTTGAACATGATGGATTTTCGTGGCTGCTCCCAGTGCATGTGGTTTCCTAGCTGACGTGACATGCGAAGCAAGACTACTCCTAGCGCAAGTTCGAACAAGTGTGACTCTCTCTCTCGTTGAACATGTTCACACAATTGGATTGATCTCATTTCATTGAACGTGTTCCATGCGCTCCATGGTCCACAGGTGGGACTGAACCATATGTGACGGGGTCTTTGTTTCCACACCATTTGAAACAGAACACTTCTCCCCTCCTTGGTTTTGAGGTCCCCCTGCGCCCTTCCAAAACGGTTGGCTCTGCCGCCAAGCAATTGGACTTGCTTCGTCAGTTCACTGGCCTCATGACAAAACACTTCCAGCAAATGTAGACGGCTGCATCCGTTCGAGATCACTGGATCACCCCTTGCTAGACTGGCTTCCTTTGAGATTTGCTGAACCAGTGCATGGAATTTATGGGACAGACTGTGAGTCTTGCCAAAAAGATGGCACATGGACGATACATGTATATCAGCTTCCTCGAAGGAGTCTAGCCATGACGAGCTCATGAAGCCCGGAGGTGGGCAATGATCTCCTGCATCGCACCTTCGATGGTCTGAAGGCGGGTGTCCATGGCTGCCATCTCCGTGTAGATCTCTGGCTGGATCTCGATCTCCTGAACTGGTTCCCAGGATTCGTCCTCGGCAAGATCTGCCAAGTCCTGCGGGGTCACTTCCTGAATCGGCTTGGCCTTGGCCTGTTCAGACCCAGTTGGTGCTCGGCATAGGTCACCCTCAGTGAGATGTAGTGGATGAACTTCTGATGGTTGACCTTGTTCGACGAGTGGTAACTTGCCTGGAACCACTTCACATACTTGCCCTCCTTTTCCCACATCTCCGAGTAGGTCCGACCGAGATGGGCTGATCCGAAATCGATCTTGGCTTGGCCCATTTCGTCCAGTGATAGGAGCTTGAAGGCTTCGAGCTGATCGAGGGCTTCTTCCTTCTTTGCTTCCCCCATGACACGTGCCAAGCGGGCACTCAGAGCGGCTGCTTCGGAGGTCGGCATGATAGTGATGCGGCACAGGTGAACGAATGGGATGGTCACACGTGTGTGATTGCACAGATCCGGTCTTGAATCCAAAACGGATGACACCGGGCTGGACCCCCCCTGGAACCGATTCGAATGAGACTTTCTCACCCCCGCGAACACTCGGACGTTCGTTTGGTTTCTTTGTGTTCGTATGGGTCTTTGTTGATTCGGGCATGGCGGCTTCGAACTGTTGGATTCTGCTTGTTACAAGACCTGTCCTCACCTGAACGTTCTGTTTCATCATGGTCTTGGTTTCCGACTGCACTTGTCCAGGCTTCTGGACAGAGACACTTGGCAAGCTTTTGCAATTCAAAGTGGCGAAGGTCTCGGCAGGTTCAGCTTCGGCATCTTGACTGGTGGGTGTGATCAGATCATTTAGGTCAACTAAAAACAAACCCTTGGCATTCAGCTGAATTGGAATATTGCGCTTCAAGAGAGTGCTTTTGATCACTTCACCAGCTATATCTACGGTGGCTCCGATGGCTCGCAGCAGAGTATTCGACAGCAGGAAAGGTGTATGGCCTGGCACTATGGCAATCTTGAGCTTCAGCGGTCCGATTGGGACAACGAGCGCACGCTTGCTTTCAAGTGTCCCTTGATTCCCAAACCGAAAAACCACTGAACAACGACACCTTTGGACCTGCTTCCGAACCTTTGGCCTTAGTGCGGCTAGGAGATTGGCTACGAAACCGCTTCCTATGACGGTCTTAGTAGCACCTGTATCTACGATTCCCAGCTCGAGAATGCACTGGCTTCGGTGTCATGCATCGACTTGGCTTCAGGTGATTGGGCGGTGCTAGCAAACGCACTCTCTGGCAAGCTAGTCCTGACATCAAAATTCTCACACTCGGTGATCATTTCCCCTTTGTGGGCTAAATCAATGATTTCCCCTTCATTGGTCTCCCGCAAACCCCTCAGAACACCGGTGTCCCTTGATTCACAAACACACAAAACTTGTTTCGTATTCTCTTGAGTGGCGTTGAGCGTCTCTTTGGTCAGCTCTGCCAAATCCATGAACTCCAGTGGCAGCGCGTCCTGCTCATCATTCACTGTCACCAGTGTAGGAGCAACAGCTGTCGATGGGACCGACTGAGATCCACGTTGCGGGCATTCAGCCTTCCAATGGCCTTTTCGGCCACAAATCCTGCAGCTGCTCTCCATGATCCTCTGCTGGAGGCTCTTTCTATTGCCAGAAAACTTTGAGGAGTAGGGGGATCGCTTTCCTTTTTCACCCCCTTTCCCTTTTCCTTTGCCTTTGTTCTGACTTGTTGGCCAGAACCCACGGCTTTTGAAGCGCTCTGACAGGCGGCGACGGGCATCCATGTATGATGATTGCGTCAATGCTAGATCTTCGTTGTCTTGCACTGCATCCAACATTGTGGATTCATACTCCATGATCATGGCGGCGTCCTCGTCACCATCATTTGCAAGACTCTCAATCCATTCTTCCTCGGTCCAATCATCGAGATTGTAGGTGGGCTCGTCGGGTGCTTGGTCGTGACCATCAGCTTCTTGGGCAATGAACGCATTGGCCTCATAGGTTTTGGTCCTTGGATTGTTCTGCTTTCCGCTGGAGTGGACCTCATGGAAGAATCGACTCCCAGGAGCTTCAGAGTGGATACCACCTCTCTGTACTCCAGTGAACCCTGCGATTCAACAATCAGTCTCTTCTTGTCTTCTGAGCTCAGGGCTGAGTTGCGAAGCAAGATGTATGCACGAAACTCATCCATGCCGACCTTCATGCTCAGCAACTCTTCGAATTGATGATCGTGCCGAGCTAGATAGCTCTCATGGGTCTCGTCGGCTCTTTGGACCGTGCTGTAGATTGCACGCTCAAACCTTTCAAACTTGTCCTCCAATCGGGATTTTCCCCAAATCCCTCCAAGGGCCTCCACGATGGCCTTCACTCCCTCCAAGTTTCCAACACGCAGCTTCTTTGGGTCCAGTCTGGCAACTCTCTGAAAGGCTGATCCCTCACATTGCAATGCAACTCGTGGGGCAAGCAGGTGTAGTTGTTCTGGAGAACTCTACTTTCCGTGACCATTCAGTGAGGTCCCTCTCACCAGGCTTGAAAGATGGAACCTGGCTCCATGGGAGATTGCTCAAACCTCCTGAGCCAGCTGAATCACCTTCCGGTGGCATTGGGCTGTTTCCTCCCTGGAAACCGCAGCTCAACAACTCTGTGACAACACCACCAAGACAATGTGCAACCTGTCGACTGCCTTGCGGCCAAACAACGTATTCACCGACTCAACCACGCAGTCAACAACAGCCAAGCACAAGGGTCAGGTGTTGTCCTGGAGCTTTAGCGGTAGCTCCGCTACCAATGTGATTGACACAATGGTAGCAACAAAAGATCCTCCTTCCCTCGCACAGCCGCGTGCGTTTTCCACTCACAGCTCACCTGAAGGTTGGTACGAACGGTCGGGCGCCTCGCCCTGCAGTGTCCTCACTGCTTCTATGGCTCAGGTCACGGGTGACCCACCCTACACCACCCTTGCGGCCTCGCACACTCGTGGCTTCGGACGTGAACACACCTGAGTGGGTCAAGACTGGTTCCTCAGTGACCGAAAGGTTCGAAATTCACAATATATATATATATATATGTGTGTGTAGCTTTTTCAAACTCTACAAGGCTGCTTGCGGCTTTCACCACTCACTTTAAAATGATAGCCGATAGCCTTGTTTGATCTAAGGTGCCGTGCCCAATGCTTCACCTCAACTGTTAAAGCACGAAAATGCTCAAAGCGTCTTCGAAGCTGCCGAGAAAGTGCCCAGGCATCCAACGCTGCAGCAAGCCCAACCTGTCCATGCAAACACTAACTATATAACTAAATGCAGAAAGAGACATCCTGAATCATTGCCATCGACGTCTCTTTCACATCAGTCCATTAGTGTGAAAGTGAAAGGAACATGAATGAACATCATCATCAGGTCAAAGAAGGGTCAGTCCCAGCCTGGCACTGGGGACTCTGTGTAAAGAGAATCGCTTCCAAAGACTTGAAGGCAGCGTTTGCAGCTGCATTTGCAATGACAGGGTCCGTGGCTGCGTTGGTGTGACTGCATCGCAGCTCTGCTATCTGCTCAGCCGAGAGTTCTGTGAACTGCACCTCGATGTGCACGTCACCGGCCTTGGCTGAGCAAGTGCAAAGGCCGTCAATTAAACAACACATACGGAAGAAAGAACTGAATGGGATTTGTTCGAGAAGGCCACATTTGAGCCGGGATGCCTGGAATTTAAGCAATGGCACAGTGGCGTCCATTGCCCGATCCACTGGGCCAATGCCGTGCTGCTGCAGTGCTTCCGAAGCAAGATCGAAAAACTTGGTGGAAGAGATGCTGGAAGAGCAAGCCAACACATCCACATCACTGCCCTGCAGTCATCACAATGCCACGCAAACACGTGCGCCGCAATTGCGTTGATGCAAGGTAAGTGGATATCCAGTAAAAGGAGACTAGATGCTGAGAAGGTACTGAGTCCGAAATCCCAAGGGCCGCTGACCCCAAAAGGAAGAGCTCCACTGAGACGCTTTCAATGTCTTGTAGTGTGATGGCTCTCAATACATTTGACTCCAAAACAGCTGCTGGCTTTTGGAGCAGGACCTGCTCGTCTCCATTGCCTGATGTGAGGGGTGTAAAGTTATGTCGGTAGGACCGCCACTTATCTGCCAAACAAGTCGCTGGTGTCTCCAAGGCTGTCTTCGCACCAAAAGCGGCAAAGGACACCAAAATGATCGGATATGTACCTGCATCACTCTATTTGTGAGAGTTGCACACACCTGAGACCTCTGTGGAGTTTGTAAAAAGACCAAGGTGCCATGCTTGATCTTCTTGGTCAGGCTTGCTTGCATCCTACAGCTGCCACGGACACGGTGAACAAGAACAGTGGGTAATGGACCAATGGATTATTGCTTGAATTGAGTATTGAGCTAGTAACTATATAGAGTATTGAAATCCTTATCCTCCTCCCCTCATCACAGAGGTCCCGCCTCAAGACGAAATGGCTCGGTAGCAAAGAGTTCTGCATGGAACTGCCAGCTCCCTGATCCCACATAGATCCGATCGATTCTGCGGGGATCCTTGCAGCCGCCAACTGCAGCCACCACATGCTGTGCCACCGTGTTCCTCAGAAAAGCGCAAGTCCGTGCTGCCAAACCTGTGTTGCCATGCGCCAAGATGCACTCGCGGATCAAAGGTGTAGCCTTCATCCCGGTCCCAAACATCAATGAAGTTGCTGCTGATGGCTGGTGCAGAGTCATTAAAATCGCCGGCAATCAGTCCGAGGTCGCCTGGTTGAAGCCTGCCACCACTTTTAACCAAAGACTTCTTCGATAAATGGCTCTTGCGGTCTTGCGGCGATCTTTTCGTGAAAAAAACACCACCACCTTCTGCAGAGTTCTGTCTAGAGATTCGAGCACAAGCCTGAATGAGGCCAGTCTTAACTGTATAATATATAGTTTTAGAGCCAAACCAAGAGCTACGGGCGTGAGAAGTGTCACAAGATCACTCATTGAGAATACTCCCCTTTGAAGTTCGCCGTCTCAGGTTGTTGTTGATGTTGTTGTTGCCTGTCATTGATCAACGCTTCGCAGGTCTGCAGCTGCTCTACTCTATGGTTGCGTCGAGTGCCAGAGGCATCATTGAGGTCTGCTGTCAAATGGAGGTTGGCAATGACAACCGCCTCATCTCATGCCCCGCCAGGCCAAGCCATTCACGGTCTGCATGGCTTCCATGTGGCCATGCTTGTGCAACAAACAACTTTGTCAACATCACCAAAAGCAGTTAAGCAGCTACCTCTTTAGAGCGAAATGAGAGTGACATCGTCGCCAGTATAACAGTCTTGTGCTGACTGATGCCTCAGCACTTGAAGTGCTAAAACGGCGAAAGCTTTCTGAAATTGCTTGGCTCAACACGTGCACATACCACAGATCTCATTGGCAGTCGCGACAGAGTTAGCTGCCCAGATGGGTTCACCGATGCCTCAAAAATGGGGGCCGAAACAATCGAAGAATGCAAGCCGGAGCTTAGTTTGGGCTAGGGGCTGTGTCTATGTCACCGCAGCTTGACCAATAGTGATCTCGCACCCAGTGTTGAGCCAGTATTGTCTGCACGAAGGATGGCGTCACCTCCAATCACAACGCAGTTCGTCTTGCAAAGTGGTGCTTGGTGCTTGTCTGGTCGCTCTCGCCTCCTGCAGCAAAAGGATATCTGCTTGAGCCCTCTCTAGTTCTTGGAACATGTGGGCCATTCTCACCTTGCACAGAGCGGTGCCAAATGTGGGCGGCAAAGCAGCCTCTGAAGTAAGTGCGGCACCTCCATGTGCGTCTTTACATCACCAAAGAGCTCAAACAGAACGTTCAGGGTGAGAACCTCCACTCCCCATGGCATGATACCAGCAAAAGGGAGAAGAGATGAGCAGCTCTCCCACCTTCAGTTCGGTCAGCTGCACGAAATGTGTGGCTGGGGCTTGCACCCAGCAGCCTTCGTCACGGTAGTATTTCATTCCAGCTTCTTCCTTTGGAGTTACCTTGTTGCTGCCCCTCCGGCCACGAACCTGAACAGAGGATACAGGATACGCGACATTCGAGAGGCCTACGGCCTCACGCGTCTTCAAGCTGCAGGCATATGGCCGTCTATACTATTATAGTTACTATACTCCATCCCTATTGGAGAACACATGGTACAAAGACAGGGCATGAGCAAAACGAAATCGATCCTTCTGCAGTGAATGCCGTATCGGGTTGCAATGCCATGTAAGCAGCAGTTTTTTGCCGCTGAACCTTGATGATTCCCTGTTCTATCTTTTCAGCTGTCCTTCGGGCTTTCTGAATCGCTTCCACTGTTTCAGGGGCGGCTTCAGCGGCCTCGCTCTCGGCACTCTAGACTCTTACCAAGCGTGCAGGCAGTTAAACCCGGCCTCCGCATTGAAGATTCTGTCTAAACGATGCTTGCGATCCCACAATACTTCAGCTCCACGACGGAAGTAATAAATCCGATGTAAAGGGATATCCCCGCCTACCACGGGCTTGCTCCAATTGAGGGCAACTATGCACTCAACTATGCATATTAACTATGTGTCAGGCAGCTGCTATCGCTCCCTTGACGCACGCGCCTGGTTGAAAGTCAAGCAGTTTCACTTCCATTGGCCCCAGGAATCTGTCCTCATAACCTCACTGCACTAAGGCAAAGAATGTCTAAAGTCCAAACATCTACAGTAACCTGCTCCACTTGTAAACTGGCCCCTTACCAGCTCCCAGATAGTAATCGCCCTGTTGCAGCTAGGTGGCCTATGCTCACTTCTTTGGGGTCAAAGCGGCTGTCGTGCAGAATGCGATGGTACACATCCTCACTTGTTCGTAGCCTTGGCAGCAACATGATCACAATGCTTGTTAGCGAGTCGAAAGCTCCCCCCCCTGTTGTAGGCGGGCTATGTCCAAGAGCGACAGGTTTCAACACGACTGTTGATTGAAGCCAAACGAGACAAGTCTCTTCTGAGACCTTTGGCTTTCCTCCTCTCGTGGTGCTTCTGTCTCTTGGGACTTTTGGCTATCTTTTCTTGGCGCTTTAGAAGGTGCTGCCTCAAAAGCAATGTTGTTTGCAGCTCCAATCGTTCCTCTTTGACAAAGCTTGAGGTAGTTTGCAATTTGGCACAGCATGATTTCATCTTTGGAGTCTACTCGGTGAACCGACCTTCGGGCCCTGCATTTTCACTTGTCCCCCTTCTTTTCCTTTTCCTCCTTTCAGTCCTTCTTTTCTTTGTCTCATCATTGGCGCTGATGTTCCAGATCCTCCAACTGCTCGCTTGCCTCAAAGCTCCAACGACTGGATGGTTGAGCCTTGCCTGTGCTGTCTGTGAGACCTGTGAACGGGGCCCGGGAGTGCCACATAAGCATGGCCATCATCTGCCGCAGCAATGCCAGGCCAGGCAATAGCGGCTGTGCCTGATGGTATTGATAGGCCTCGGCAGAGGAGCACCAAATAAGAGAGACAAGGATCAACATGATGAAACCAGGACAAGTGCCAGATGGACACCTTGCTGAGGCTGCAACATCTGGAGGACGGCCACCAGCCGAGAAGGGTGCCGGTGTCAAGGTGCCAAGTCGCTAAACTCCGATCCTGAAACCTCAAACAGAAACCGAACAGGTGCAAAACAAAAGCAGGTTCAACGTCCACGCATCTGTTCAGGCATGGAGCTGGGCTGACACACAAGGGTTTCCAGTCAGCAGGCGCTGGATCTCCAAAAGGCCAGAGCTTGGCAATCTTGGCACCTCAACACACACACACACACAATCTGCAAACCTCCAAATAAACCTCAGATCCTTACCTAGAGAGTTTCTCAGTGAAAGCTTGCTGATATTCTTTCCGCATTTTGACGTCCCAGGAACTGGGTAAGTTGGCAGGTTGGAGGGCATCCGCAAGTCCATGTAGTGCAAAGGGACTTGACCAAACCCCCCTGCCACCAAGGTGTGGTCTGACACGAGTCTAGCCAGAGTTCGGCATGTGAAGCCACCAGGCCAGGCCATCTCTACAGCTGTGACAGACCTGCAAGCATGTGTCCAACTCACACGAACACCAAGAGCTGGCGGGATCACAAGCCTTCGCAGGTCCCAGAGCATGCATGAGGATGGGCCCGCAACTGCAACATGTGGGCCCAGCGGGCTCACTGCTGGATCCCGCAATGCTGGCACGTTCAAGTACTCGGCGTGTCCATTCTGACAGCAAGGGGCCGCTACCATATTCCAAACAAATGTTTTGAGTCGGTAACACACCTGTGCACGTCCCATCACTGGGAAACCGGCCTCAACGTTGATGAGCGCTACTTTGTTCGAAAAGGCTGCAAGTGCTCGACCGCCTATCCAGTGCACATCAAGGGCCTGGCCGTCATCTCTTTTGCCTTGGACCCCGCTTGAAGCTGACGATGCAAAGTGTGCGAGTCAAGCGGGCTTGAAGGCGACTGAGCGAATGTCTGAGCAAAGTGGGCTGACTCCGTGGATCGTTCAGGTCATGCACGCTCAAACCACCTCCTTCGCATGAGAAACGTCACTGACAAATCAGCTTGCACCACAAGGTCCTGTCCTTTGGAGAGTGCAAGGAGCAGTTCTTCCCACAGGTCCACGTTCTTGATGTGTCCTTTTAGTTTGCTGAACCGAGGTTTCTCTTTCAAGGCATTGAGGTTCCACAAGCTCAATCCTTAGTTGTCACGGTTTGAAACCTCAGCCACGGGGCGTACAAAGGTTCGAACCAAGGCACCACTCTCTTTGCTGATCTCTCCCACAGCTAGCAAACGCTTATCATTTTGCCTCATGCAGCTCACAGGTCCGCTGAAGGGTAGCGAAAGAATTTCTGTGCTTGCCTCGGCTTGACATCAACAGGAACACTTCAAGACCCTGAATGACAGAGCAAGCATAAATGTTGTGCATTTACATCTGCCAATGTCAACACCTTTCCAAACTCAAAGTGCTGATGGGTCGTCTTGCATGTGGCGGACTCCTTTGCATAGATCTTTGGCAAAGGCCTGCATGTCGCTTTATATATGTCGGTGCGTCGGTGCGTTGATGTACAGATTGCATCTGATCATGCCTTGTCCTTCGTAGCTGCCACCACAGACAAGCTGGCCGCAAAGCCTCTACCACTGCAAGGAATCATGCAGCATTGTGATTACATTATATTGCGTTCCTTCAAAATTCTTGAAAGCCTTGCCTGCAGCTCCTGCGAGGGAGCTAAAGGTGCTGATACCCGAGCCGGACAACCTCAGTCGGCTCATGCCTTCAGACCTCAAGAACTAATCCACTTCCCAACATCAAAAGCCAGCAGCCAACAGCAATCACCTTCCAAAACCACTGAGGCAGGGAAAAATGCCTGTATTGAAGAGGACAACGTTTTCAGGGCTACAGTGAGTTGTGCGCTGGAAATTTGAGAAAGCATCAGGACCGCCTCCTCATTTCTGACAAGACACGAAGCACCGTCTGTACAGAAAAAGTTCTGGATCATTTCAGGCCACCAATCTGCATTTCCAGGGATCTCCTGCAACTTGGCTGACTTGAACTCTACGAGGCATACGAAGTCGCTAGGAGGAGAAGAATGATGCCGATGGGCGGCAAAAAAGAAGCACCTTGTAATTAAACAGGGTCATCTATGTATGTATATACACAAAAAGGATGATCTGCCAGAATGTACAATCAAGACTCTGTTTAAAAAAAAGAAAGAAAGAACATGCAAATATCAAAAAGTCCTGGTGTGCCACTGCTCGTGCCAATAGTGCAGCATCACGAAGATGCAAGGCCTCAATCTAAGAATGCACTCAACCCAAACAGAACAAATCATGAAGAGTCTCGGCTCAGAACCTCCACCACACCTCGCCACACCAAAGATGGAAGTGATGAAGGCAAGCCACCCTCTTTTCGACTTGGAGTACTAAAGCTCCTGAACACACCGGGAACACCTCTGGAACAATCTGCAAATTTCACAGGGCACAGCCTCAACTACAGCTGAGCCTGTCCGTTTGTTCCACTTTTTGCAGAAGAGAATCTCAACACTCCGTAGTGGCAGTTCCTGCACTGGCCTTATGATGAATCAAAAGGCCGAAATGACGGGTGAATCACACCAGCTTAGAACCAAGTGTGCATGGAACCAAGTGTGCCTGGATTTAGGCTATTGGGCGGCCTGGACGTCCACAAGGCGGAATTACAAAAAAAACTTTGCCTTGAGCTCTCTCCACCCAATGCGGTTTTTTTGGAGGCCGTTGTCATATGCACACTGGTGGGGCCCACTGGCACAACAGTGGTGGCAACACTGGTGGGAGTTCTGGGTTTCCCACTGGATGGGGGGAGCTAGGGGGACAGCGGGCGACCTGCAGCAAAGGTCAAAGCATTTTGTTGACCTCGACTTGCGAACCGACATCCAACTACCCTTCAATACATGGCAAGGACAACCACAAGAACAACCATTGGAGAACATACTGCGGGAAACGCCGTACCTGTACCACTGATAGGTGTGCGACACCAGTAACCTTGCAACTGAACACGAGTGCCTGCACAACAGCTTGTCCAAGGACAAACTGGCAGTTGCCGGGCTTATATGTTAAATGTTCTCCAATCCGGGTGGGGGAATGAAAAAACAATAAAGGATTCCCAAATATTCCCAACAAAAGTAGAAGAACAATTACACCAGCATAGACCCAGATAGCTAGGCAGAATCCCACGACCTGTTGACATGTGACTGGCTGGGACAAGAATGTACGCAGCCTGCACAGCCAGCTTACGGCACCTCCACAGCGCGCACAACCAGCTGACACCAGCACCGGTGCGCTTTGCCAGCTGACAACACCGGCAGTGGCGCCAGCACCCGACCAGCGCCGCCGCCCGTCTTAAACACGCGCTCAGCCAGCTCACAGCACCAGCACCGACACCCTTTCGAAAGCGCGCGCAGCCAGCTGCAGCAAGAACCCCATAGCTATCCCTATTGGGGGAATAACAACGTATGATCTCGCGCGTAAAAGTTGATGCGCACACAAGTATGCGCGCAAACAGCAAAGCCCAAACAGTATCCAGCACCACTATTGACTATGTAGCATGATTGAAGCAACGATCTGTAGAACGATAAGGCCGTATGATCTTGCGCGTATAAGTCTATGCGCACAAAAATACGCGCATAAACGGCAAAGCCCGTAGGCTTCACTCGCCCAAGGCCAAGCAGTATCCAGCACGACTATTGTGTGTAGCACGCTGAAACATGCTGAAACAATAGTCAAAGGTCGGTTGGGAGCCTGACGTTGCGCATAATACACTATACGTTCAAAGGTATGCACGCAAACAGTACAGCCCTTGACACAGCTGTGGGCCAAAGCAGAACTTGAAGAGTGTAAATACACGTGCACAGCCAGCTCACAGCACCGGCGCCCGGCGCCCAGCACCAGCACCGGCACCCGGCACCGGCACCAGCAACCTGTCTCCACCACGTGCACAGCCAGCTCACAGCACCAGCGCCCGGCACCCGGCACCAGCACCAGCACCAGCAACCTGTCTCCACCACGTGCACAGCCAGCTCACAGCACCAGCACCGGCACCCAGTATCAGCACCGGCACCAGCAACCTGTCTCCACCACGTGCACAGCCAGCTCACAGCACCAGCGCCAGCACCGGCGCAGCCAGCTCACAGCACCAGCACCAGCACCGGCACCCAGCACCCAGCACCAGCACCAACACCAGCAACTTGCCTCCACCACGTGCACAGCCAGCTCACAGCACCAGCACCGGCACCGGCACCCAGCACCAGCATCTCGAAAGCGCGCACGGGCAACTCATTGTTATTTGAAGTAAGAACCCCATAGCTTCGCTATCTGGGGAAATACATAGAGATCAACAAACAAGTTAGCTGCATTGCAATAAATACGCAAGACCAACGAGGAACAAATACAACAAAGAAATCGCAAAAGAAATCAGCAATAGCTTGGGCAGTGGCATCGCTAACAACAGTAGGGGTGGAAGAATAAGAAAAGAAAAATAATGAAATGCAATATATGACACAATTCCTGCAATTGATACCACTGTCTCCGAGAAAGCTGTCAATCGCCACGGGTGAAGATTCGATTTGACGGCAGAGGCTTCCAACAAATATCGGAATCAAAAACACACAGGGATCAAAACAAAACGAATAGGGATTAGAAAATCAACAAAATTAGAAAGAAAAGAAGACATGAAGGGAAGAAGGAAAGTATGAAAGAAGAAGAAGAAGAAGAAAAACGATAATGTTGTTATATATATATATATTATATATACAGTATGTGTGTGTGTGACCATAAACGGTCGGAAAGGTTCTATGTACATGGACGTGTCGCAGTTCGCTCTGCGTGGTGCCAGGATCCGAATTCAATCCCTTGACTCACCCAGACCGCCACGAGGGGGAGGCGGTGCGAAATCTGTGAAACTTTGCCTGCCGTGAAGTCATGTTTTCAACACCCATCGGACATCCTTTGCTGTTATCATGATCTTGTAGGCCACAACCGCAACCATTATATCAGAGAACTCGGACAACGTGTGAGAGAGTAGTCGCGCCGGCCAAAGCAAGATAAACTGCGCACGCTTACGAAGCCTGCTCGCTGTGACAACCCACAAAGGTAGATGATAGGGTTTCCAATGCTTCCATGTTTCCCCCTTGCCAAAGCAAGCGCAATGTGTCTAACTTACGTAACCTCCTACGACTACTGCTGCTGCTACTGCCATGGCCACTGCCACTACTACCACCAAACGCAGCAACAACGATCAAAAACCATCAACAGAGTCACAAGTAGCGATAGGAGACAATTGGTAGCCAAAAACAGCAAGAAAACGAATCAAGCAGCTCCATGAGACATGGTGAGAACATAATAACATATCATATCAGTGGTGAAGCAATTTTGTCCCAGGAAGTGCTGGCCTGAACCTTCTTATGTACCCCAGACGAACTGCTTGCACTCGAGTGGCTTCAAGGGTTCGGTGGAGCTGTCACAGGCCATAAGTACCAACTTGTCACAGTGCCAAACAATTGGGAGCTGAAGGAGCTCAATGTCAGATTTCAGCAAATTCTCCGCCTGCAATTCGCCGATTCGGCCTGTGGAAGAACCTTGCGTCTCGAACACCAGACTTACATTGCGTGTCGCCTCCTGCCATGGAAGCTGCCCAATGGTCAGGTGGAAATCAGAAGTAAATTCCGCAGCATATTCCTGGGGCTCACAAGCACAGGTCTTACAACAGCTGCTGCCAAACATTTTCCAAAGTGCCTCAGAGCTTCCGGGAAAACTTCCTTATGCACTTCTTTGCAAAGCTCTTCCAAGCGCTTCGACGAAACAAAGCTTGGCTTCAGTACAATGTACCTGAGCATACGCTGCACTACTACGCGCAAAACAGAGTAACGAGCATAGTGAATGCCACCGACACAACCTACCCCATCTCTGATGTGAGGCTCAGGCGTTCGATCCTTATCGCCATGGGATCCACTGGTCAGAAGCCCCACCTCGCACTATTAAGGCCATGGACGCTATTAGGAGCATGGACGCTAGTAGGGCTCCTGGCATCGCTACTAGGAGCAAGGACGCTACTAGCGGCTCCTGGCCTTACTACTGGGAACAATGTTTGCTATTAGAAACAAGAATTCAATCATTATCGTCATCGTTCATTATCTTTCCTCTTGCCGACTCTTGCCTATGTTCTGGCTCCAGGCTGGCCACAATATCTCTGTTTCAAAGCGCAGTGGTTTCTGTTTTCAGGCAGCGAACTCTCTGCGACCAGCTTGCAACATGAAGGGTTCCAAGTTCCATGTGGGTATGTG